AACCGTCAGTCCCCTACACGTCTCCATTTGCATTGTTTGGGCTCTTCAGAGTCTGTGCTTCTTTCAGTTCCCAGTGTGAGGCTCCGAACTCTGGGAGCCTCAGTAGACCACACTTTCAGTTCTGTAGCTCCACAACTGTGAAATGATCTTGCAATCCATATCACATCTTGTGAGTCTGTCATCCCTGTCTTAACCTTTATCCTCTGTACTCTTTATACTTTCTAGTCTGGGTTTTAATTAAAAATATTATTGCTCCTTCTGTATCTGTAGTCTGCTAAACTGCACCGTGTCCAGAGCTGTTAGCCAACAATAATTGTATCATTAGACCCTGTGTTGCCAAATTAGCACTAATTATTTTAAAAGTGAATTAGAAAATTCTGAGCTCCTTGAATAAAACCTGAGAAAACAAAATACATTTTAAGTTATTGTAGCTCCTCTTAAGTTGCTGTAAGTTTAAACTGCGCTGAAAGTCTCCTTTTGATCCTGTTATTTTTACTGGACTTTAGTGTGCTTACTGTGTTATAATTGAATATAAGGTAACGAAGAATCTGTGGGATACTAGAGAAAATCACAGAAAGAATTAGAATTGAAGTTAAAGTTAAATATTTGCGCTTATTGCAACTGTGAAGTTCTCCTTCTGACTCTTAAACCGATTATGCAGAACTGAAATTTTTATTCAAAATGACACCTTCCCAGTCCTTTTGCAGGTGTTGCCATCAGCACTCCTGGCATCGTGATGTCGCCTGTGCCTGTTGCCTCCATGGGCTTGCAGAGCTGTCAGGAGTATTGGTTTGCCTGAGGAGGGGGCTGCAGGGTCATGCAGTGCACGTGAACTATTGTGTAACGTGTACGTGAGGTAGTGTCCATACTGGGTGGCATGTCTGCGAACTGGCAGGATGACTTCTGCTTGCACAGGTGTTAGATTTGGTGAACTGAAGTCGTGGAATTTGCATTTATTGTAGCTGTTCTGCAAATGCATAGACAGACACACAGACAGTAATTGTACTATGCTTGGGGGTTGTGGGCCCCCGGATCTCTCAAGGAATGGCTCTGTGAGATGCTAGAATCAATAAACCACTAGACCTGAAACAGTCAAGACAGGCTGAATGGTTTTCTCTCACTTGTAACCTTTGTAGTTTGCTTGTGTTCTCCAGGCAGTACCTCCTCTTCACTCTGTGGTCTCTCTATCACTGTGTCATTCGTGGGCCAGCGTGAGTGTGACCCATGACTGGACCAGCTCCCGTACGCACACACACGCATGGGCACACACATACACACCCCCACACGCACACACTCACCGACAAACGTGTGCACACACAGTTGCTCACGCACGCACATGTGCAGAACACACTCATATACGGAGATGCACACGGCTGCTTGCACAGGTACACACACACACACACTAGGAAAGTGAATGGGGAAACATGTGGTTCCCTAGTCAGCTACTTCTCCTCGTGATGAAAGAATAAAGGGCTGGAGAGAGAAACGATTCACTCGGGGGTCCACAGTGACATCCGAGTGTCCTTTTCCTTTGTGCTGCCAAGCAACGTGGACACTATGCAACAGAAAACTCTTAAACCAAACTCAGACTATCAACCAGATGTATGTAATCTCTGCCTAAAAGTGAACCGGGGAAAGTACCACTGATTATTTTCCTGTTTGCCTTTTTTAGTGATTGGATTTTTTATTCAAAAGTATGCAAACTCATTTGTATTTGGTGTGTTGTCAGGGAAGGCACACTGTTTTAAAAATGTTATTATTGCATGCTTACATTCCTTAAAATATTAAAATACATCCATAAGGGAAATATATAGACACAGTTAATTCATGGTCTCAGAATGAATCATGTCCAGAACAGGAATACATATACGTGAAGGTCCTTGTTTAGTTTGTCCTGCCCGAGGAATGTCTCCTGCTTTCTGCTTGCCTGTTTGCACCAAATTACAGGATCTGTCCTGTAACACTCATACCCAACCTCCTCCCAGCACCAATCCAGCCCCCCCGCCCCAGAACTGCTGCTGCGGTACTTTCGCACCAGCAAACGCCAGTGTAAAAATAAAGCGCCAAAAAAAGTAACCAGGTTTAAAAATACCCTTGTTTGTTTAGAGTCGCTGAGCCTCTGGCCTGTGAGAAAGAGGACTGGGACAGGGAGTTTTACAACTTGTTTTTAGAGCCGGTTACTCACCTTCTCTTTTCTGTCTCGGCCTGCTCTGGTGCGTGTTTGGGGAACTTGGAGGGTGGACTCCAACGAAACTCAAAGAGAGAAAGCAAAGTGAGTGAACACGACAGATCTGTCTAGTATTATTAACCCCTGACATCCCTGTTCTACAAGAGCGTGACCAGCCTGCAGCCTGATCTGTGCTAATTAAGACCAGGCATGGTCAGGACTGGGCTGAGCGCCCTGCAGGGATAACCTGATTACTGCCGTCAGAGGTGTTGGGAACCAGCAAGTACCTGTAGTACTCCTCTCACTGGAGCAGGAACACAGAACCAGCGCCCCAGTGAGAAGGCATGCTGCTGTAGGAGGTGCTGATGTTAAACTGAGGTCCTGACTGCTCAGTCATCAAAGATGTCATAATTCTGCTTGCAAAGAACAGAAGTCAGTAGTATTTCCAAACTTTGCAGCTGTTCTGAAAATGTATAAGACAGACACACAGACAGTAATTGTACTGTAACTGGGGGTTGTGTACCCTGTGTTATCTAAAGGAATACCTGGATGAGATCAATAAACCACTAGACCTGCAGCAGTCAAGATGGGCTGAATGGTTTTCTCTCGTAAGTCACCTTTGTAGTTTGCTTGCATGGCCCTGTTTGTAACAAAAGGGGAGTTAACCCTAATGTCCTGGCTAAATTCCTCTCTGGGCTTGCACAACCTGGCCTCAGTAAACTTTCCCCTTAACACAATATGTGAAGCAATCAATCACTTATCTTCCTGATGTGTAGTGGGGTTGCTGGTGCACTATGGCTGCCGTGGGTCACCAGGGTGGGGGTGCACTTCAGTGGTGGATGAAGTGGTCCTCTGAAAACTGTTAGTGCCTTCCAATCCCATGATTCACTCAGATTTATTTTTGTTTTGTTTTTTCATCAAAGGCTGAGCACACCGTGTGTTTACAAAATAAGGCCACAGGGTGGCAGTGTGTGAGGTACAGAAACAGTATGAAATTGATACTGGCAGGCCTCCATCTACTTGTAGCATAGCATACTCAGGCTGAACACAGGGCCTCACGGCATGTAATATCAGTAATCAGACGTGCCACTTGCTAAATTTAACAAGTTGCAGATTCGAGGCGCCCTGCAATGCCTTATCGTTGGGTGAAATCGCATTTTGCTGTGACAGGACAGGTTTAGCGCAGTTTTAGTCCATGGTGCGCTGTGTGCCAGCACAGCAGGATATGGGGTATCCGGGGGTGAGACTGCGAGGTCGGCGCCCACAGCTGCTGATGTGAGCTGGAGTGGGTAAGGAGCTCCCGAGACGGGTTCCCAGTTCGTCACATCGAAGTGGCAAGCGTGCCGTGCAAGGCAAGACACTGCTGCTGGCATTACAAAGCAGCTGAGCCTCATGAGAGTTTACCATGGTGAAACAGAACACCGGGGGCTGCTTTCCTCTGCTTGCGTTGCGGATCCAAGCGCTTGGCCAGGCTCTGCAGGGGGGGCTGCCGTGCGTCACCCAGGTGAGACTGCACTTCAGTGGTGACTGAAAGTCAGTCCTGTCCTGTGTATAAAGCACTCTGGGACCGTATGGGTTAAGAAGCAGCACACAAAAGCAAGCGATTATTTATTGTTATTATTAGAACCGTTTATGGCAAAGAGTCAGTGGACATGGAGACCGGGCGTGGAGCTCTTTGCCTTCTGTTTAGTTTTTTTTTAACTCCTCGATGAGGGCAAACCTGTCTTAAAGGACAAGTATCTTCGATGACATTTTCAGAGATGAATAAAAGGTTGTTTTTTATTTTGGGGGGGAAGAAAAGGCCGATGCTCACCAGTTCCCAGTTGCTCGGGGGACCTGGCAAGCCGAGCAGCTCCTGTGCCGCGTTCCCACCCCTGCACTGGGGCAGGAGACACAGCCTGCTCACCGGCTCCCTCTTGTGGCGCCCCTGGGCCATGGTTCCAGCCAGCAGCACAGCCTGTAGGTCAGCCTGAGAAACAGATGACTCCTGACCTATGCGAGTTTGGTGGAGTTTGATCCCACTGGGCTTAGAGAGAAACAGAACCAAATAAGCCCCTTCGCTTGTACCAGTAAAACCAGTGGACGTTACTGGGACCCTCTCCACCCGGTATGAAATCCCTTCGAACTCCCCCTTTCCCCCTCCCCCCAAGAGTAGAGATGGTTTAGAGTAGTCATTCAGCCCTAAACCGTTGTCTATGGGAAGTGGGAGGAGACTGGAGTGCCTGGAAAAAAAACACAATTTGCACCCATGGAGAACATGCAAACTCCACACAGACTGGCATCCCAGACTGCCAATGGAACCCAGGACGCTGCTTGGAGGGAAGGAGGATGTGTCTCCTTCGCTGGGCACTACTGTGGATGTGGGAGTTATTGGCCATAGTGCAGATTTGTTGTTGTTGTTGTTGTTGTTTTAGGAGATTTTCTTTTTATCTAACCAAAGATGTGTGCCTGTGCATATCCCCTCCATGTGATTTAATGTCGGATAGCCGGCGCCGTGTCCCGGAGGTGGCCGGCTGTCCTGCCGCCTCGCTGTTCCTCTGTGGCGGGGCAGCCGGAGAGTTTCTGTTTTGTTCGCTTGGTTGCAATTCTGCTGTGGGTAGGGGGGAAAAAAATTGCAAGGTGCGTGCGCATGACTCTGCGTGCATAATTTGTGCGTTTGACAAGAACGTGCGTGGTGACTCCCCCCCCCAAAGGGGTGCTGCCCCCCAGGCGAAGAGTCGGAGGGCCTGTGTCGGGCCGCTTCCACCTCACTCGGAATTTTCTGGGCTCTTTGAAGAGGGCGCCTTTCAGCCACAAGATTGCAACTTGCTGACGTTTGCCGTCATGTGATTCAGACGCTGCCCGTTCCCAGGGTTCAATGAGAATGGTTTGCCCCACCCATCTCTCCAGCGCTGTGTCAATGTACAATTCCCGGAGAAAAGGGAAAAAGCGAACAATGTCCCCCAGAAGAGGCTTTTTTTGACGTTTATTCGCCAGCGTGAGCGGCCTGTCAGCGAAGGAATTGCTGTCAAACCGGGATCAGTCCGTATGAACCGCGGTATCTTCACGGACTCGTGTGCACATGTATGTGTCTACCATCCGAATTCAAAAGGGATACAAAGCTGAGAGTGACAGCAGGCTCAAACTGCAACAGAAGGGGAAATAGCCCGAGATTTTTTTTTTCACCCGTAAAAACACAGCAGTCGGAGGTGGCGGAACGAGTCGCCAAGAGGATTCTTGGAATCGGAATTGTGAGCTTGTGCGGTTTCCAGATGTGGGGAGAAATATAAATTGTTATAGCGACAGAGGAAAAAAAAAACGGAGGGGGAGAGAGAGAGAGAGAAAAGGGCCTTTTTGATTTGGGCAAAACCAGCAAGGAACGACCATCGCAGAAGAAGAGGAGGAGGAAAATATAGGGAAAAAAATTAAATGATTTTCTGGGATTAAAACAGCTGTGCATCGGACACTCTGGGGCCGCCGCGTGCGCGTTTTACGGATTTAAAAGGTTTTTACCGAGTCAAGAAACGTTCAAAATGATCTACATGGCGTCATTTTAGTGGAAATATTCATTTTTATCGTCTCTCCCCCCCCTCCCGTCTCTCTCTCTCACACACACACTCCTTGTGGAAGAAAGCGAATTGTGAGATATAGACCAAAATATTAAATTCCTATTAAAAGCGCCTTTCCTGTTGGGGTTTTTGGTGACCCCCCTCCGACCCCCCAAGACTACAAAAAAAAATCGCCTTTTAAGAGACTGAAGGATTCTTCGTCGAGGAAATTAATTTGGGGGGGTTGGATTTGTCATTAAGAGAGACCGTCGTGGGAATCGCGAGACAGAATTATACATGTTTATTTTAAGAGAAGGCTAAAGGAAACAAAAATCGAAATTCTATTTGTTTTTTTTTTCTTTTAAATTGAAATAATAATTAAGCCTGTGCATATATATATATACACACCGGGGGGGGGGATATTTCCCCGTCTGACAAGGCGGCCCGACTGTGGCGTCATTATCTCCTGCTCACCGTTCTTTCCGAGGCAGGATTAGACTTAGGGGGGGTATCCATTTTAAATCATTTACCCCCAAAAAATCCCGGTTGATTTGATCATTTTTTTTACCGACAGCATACATAAATGCCACGAATCTACACCCAGGTGTTAATTTTGTGGGCCAACAATCGAGGGATTTAGGATTTCTTAATTATTTAATATTTTAACCCCTCCCTCCCTCCCTCCCTTCCCCTCCCCGTCCCTCTCCCCTCTTTTCCCGAACCTCTATTTTTTTTGGGGGGGGGGTCTGGTTCTATACTTTTTTTTGTGTGTGCGTTTTGTTTTGTTTTTGTTTTTGTTTTTTTTGGAGGGGGGGGAGGTTTTTTGGGAGTGGGGGAGAAAGATGGGCTGTTTGGGCAACAGCAAGACTGAAGACCAGCGGAACGAGGAGAAAGCGCAGCGCGAGGCGAATAAAAAGATCGAGAAACAGTTGCAGAAAGACAAACAGATCTACCGAGCGACGCACCGGCTACTGCTGCTGGGTAGGTCCGGTACAGTCCAGATGCATGGGGAGATGTACTGGGTGCTGGGGGTGGGCGGCGTACACATCTCGATGGACGAATTCCGTGCATCGCAGGAGATCGGATGAAATCGGAAGGCTGAATTTGTTGTCGGGGCCGGCGTTAGTGTGTGTTTTTTTTTAAATGTATTTTCCTGGGCTGAAATGAGGGGTTGTAGTCTGATTTCTGTGTTTGCGGAGGACACGGCGCCGTGCTGCGAGTCTAGCTGGGGCTGTCTTTGCAGGCCGAGGGAGCCAGAGAGAGAGAGAGAGAGGAGGCAGCCGAAACAGCTGTATCGCGTTTGGATCCGAGTCTTTTTTAGAAAAACCAGCAGTGATACGTTGTTACCGCTGAGCCGGAGTGTTAACTCTGCCTGAACACACGGGCTACGTGTCGGCTGTGCGTGTCTGTGGGTCTGCGAGCCTTACAAACCGGTCTTCTCAGTATTTCACGATACGATCACGTTACTCTTCCTTGATCCGCGATGCTCAATCACAACCACCTTGTAGCGTCTCGTAGCCTGCGCCTCTGTTTCTTTAAAAAAAAAAATGTCAAGAGCTTTGTTTCTGCTGTTTGCGATGACGGCTTTCGTTGTGTTTCTGAGCTGTGTAGATGTATTTGTAAAAAAAAAAATATCAGACGGCGTCCTTATCCGGGGTTGGTTGGGGTAGATTTCAGGAAACCCAGCTCGTCGTCTGCGCCGCGCGGGTCCGTCCGCCTCTCCGGTCTCCCCATGACCCGAGGTCGTGTCTCGTGTCGAGGTGTGATGATTTACCCCGGCCCGCGGTGGTTTTGGGGGACGGGGTGCCCCGTTATTTCACGGACGGTTGATGTTTCTGCGGTGTCGCTGCAAGGCCTAGGCGAAAGCCGTGGGGCCCGAGACGAAGAGGTTCTCTCGCCTGAATCTGGGTTGTCCCAGCAGCGGACGGAACCGGGCTCGGCGGGCCGCCGGGGCAGCCCTGACCGCTGTCTGGGGGGCGGTTTCCGAGGCCCGTGTGGCAGCAGATTTCGCCCGTCAGATTTGAGTAAAAACAACGACTGTCATGTGCCATTTGAGTTGACAGAGAAAAACGGACATGTTGTGTTTCTCGGGGTTTTTTTTTTTAAAAAGGCCAGGCGTTGCTCGTCTTTTTTCCCCAACATGGCTCCGTTTGAATGGTTCGGAGTGCCGGTGCCGCTCCCGTTCGCAAATTCGCCCTTACACGGAGAGCTTCAGGGTGATAAATAAGAGGAGGCCATTTGACCCATCGAGCTTGTTGGGTAGTTAGAAGATGATTGATCAAGGGATCTTATTCAGCCGTTAGTTGAAAAAAAAAACGGCTTTATTGGCTGCAATAACATGGCCGATTAGCTTGTCGCATACTCCTGCAACCCTCTGTGTAAAGAAGTGCCCCCCCGAAACTTCTCAGATTTATTTCCCCATAGTTTCCACTTGTGACCTTTGCTTTGTTTCGCCACTAACTAAGCTAAAACGAAATGCAGCTAATAATTTCATTTCCGTCCACGTGGAAACAAATCATCATAATCAGTTATGATGTAAAATCTGTTACAATTCTTCAGGTTTTTTAACTCCCAAACCTGAGTGTGTCCCAGAATTAGGAAGCGGTTGATTCTCACCACATACATTGAATTTATGCTTTTGCTGAAAACAACTCTGTTTGCTTACTGTCTCTGTGGAACCATTAACATCCAAAAAAAAAGGAACATTTCTGAAGAATATTTCTGTAGAGAAAACGGGCATCAGCTTTAATGCCAGTTGTACCCGTTTCTGACCAGACCGCAGAGCTCAGTCTTTGAGCAGACATAAGTTCACTTGATATGCGATTTTTAGCAGTTCGGAGGTTGAAGAGAATTTGGAAGACGGGCAGGAGCTGTCAAGTGGAGTGATATATAAATTAAAGATGATAAAACATGGCTTATAGGGATATGCTTTGTCTGTGTATGCTTGCCAAGCATATACATACCTGTGCACATGTTTGCTCATCTCTAAAATCTCACACTGGACTTTCAAGCGCTGGGAAGCCCTCTTAACCCTTGGTTCACCTGTCGGCAGACGTGTGTTTTCAGGCTTGTGGTTTGTGGAATTGGACTCTCGGGGGCACTGCGAAGTGTCTGTGGCTTTTCTTGCTTTGTGTTGCTCTTGGCAGGTTTTTAAATCTCGGGGGAACGTGGAAGAATGAGCCAGGGGGCACACAAGTGTTTTACACGAGGCCCGACCCGCCTGAGCAGGTTCTGAGCGGCCTAAGTGCAGGGCTGTCCAGTCCTGGTGCTGGGGGGGGGCAGCAGAGTCAGGTTCTCAGTCCTGCTGAAGGAGCGGATCCCTGGCTACATCAGACCCACTTAACAGCTTCTTCACACCCTTCAGTTCCTGACCTAAGACACCCCATGCTGTCACCCTTCTTTCCCATAGGGGCGGGGGGGAGATCTTCGGAGTGCCCTGTCAGGTGACTTCATCTGGGCATTTCCGGTTTCTTGTCCGCTACCTGGGGCTCGTCTTCGGCATTTCAATGAACCGCATGATGGTGCTTCTTCGAGCCTGGCTCTGAGGCGTTGTAGCTGCAGCGTTAATGAAATGAAGGTTTGAATTCATGAAGTGGAAAAGGCCTTTAAAAAGACCGGGAGTCGCTGGGATCCTAGACCTGGAGACCCCCGGCTCCGATCTGGTCAGGGTGCAGCCCTCGGCGATGAGGAAGCAGCTCTTTGGGGTCACCAGTTCCAGGAAGGCCCCAGCTGGTTCTCGGTTCTCATTCGGAGTTGATTGCTGCTGCTGGCACGAAACGCATGCCGTTCAGGAAGAGCTGGCGCGAAACCATCCGAGAGCAGTTACGAAGCAGGCCAGCGAGCCCACCTAACTCGTTTGTTTGTTCTTGCGGTATAGCTGTCTGAAGATGCCGGGGCTTTTGGTTGAGGTGGATGTTTTTCCCAGTTTGCTCCAGAGACAGGTGTGGGCCTGTGGTTGCGGATGGTTAATGTAACAGGCGAACGCGCAGTGGTCATTGAGTACCAGCGTGAGGAGAGCCTGGGACATAAGGCAATGGAGCAGAGGAGAGCGAGTCGTAGTCGTGTGGTGTCCATCGCCCTTGCGTATTTTGGGTTGTTGGCTTGCCGTAGTCTGGATGTAGTATTATGGGATGGGCAGTCATACCCCTGAGGCGCAGTGGTTAAGGCCCCTCCAGATTGAGGAAACTCCTAGACTTGAGTTGTGCAGGTGTTGGTTCCCGTCCAGGTCTTGCCAGTGACGAGCTCTTGTGTTATGGCCACCGCTGGGCGGAGGATGTTTCATGCTGGTCATTTCAGTTTGGTGCTTTCCAGGTACGTCTTGCATGAAAGCTTTCAGCTCCTAAATCCTGAAAGGGATCCATCTGCAGGTCAGTGGGAACCCCAGCTCCATCCCTGAGCTCTCTGCAGGAGGCTGGGTACATTGATTGGGACACAGATCTCTAACGCGAGCAGCATGGAGCGTTGTAGCTCATCGGTGTGGAGCTCCCCTCTAAACATGTGATGCTTAACTAATAAAAAAACAAAACAGTTTGTGTCCAGGTCCGGCAGTCAGGCTTGCTCATTAATTTGTTCCAATGCCAATTAGATTGTTCAAAACGCTTACTGTTCAGTGTGCTTTGTAGCACTGTGCTCCCGATGTAAGTAAGCAATGCACAGTGCTTGCTAGTGTTCTCTTTTGACTCAGGTGTGTGGGAAGAGTGCTGCGTTTGCATGCTGTAACCGAGTGAAACCAGCTCCTACATTTTGCTGCGTTCTGGCCTCTCTGGCCTGGAGCGATCAGTGCTGCTGCGCTGGAAGGGAATGTGGGTCTGACGGTTCGTCGTTTCCTGGTGCATCTGCGTCCGCTGCCGGGCCGTTATCTGGGCTCGGGGATTCATAGGTGGTTGCAGGACTCCTACGTCCTGCGCGGGGTTAAACACATGTAGCTGCCTCACCCGCATCCCTCACTGTTGCACTTTGAAGAATTGACGAGCTGGGGAACAGCTAGGGTTTTGTTCTGACAGCTCTCACCCTAATGTGGAAGCTCCTGTTTTTTCTAAACATGCTGTGCCTCATGTGTGCAGGCTAGCGGACTGACCAGGAGTGTCCTGCTGTGCTCTGACCTCTCCCGTATCCCTGTGTCTGCAAGCACTGTTCATCTGCATGTGTCAGTGTGGATGATGCTGCACTACAGGGTGTACTGCAGTTAATCAGAACTGAGAATTAGCAGCGTCGCTGCATTTATTTGGGTGCTGGCCGGACGTTGAGTGCTGGAATGTGGTGGGTTGGATGGGCCTCAGTTTGAGAAGCCTTATCCCTGGAGAAAGGGGCTCAACCCTAGGTCATATTGATCTGGACTGGGCTGAGGCCTCAAGTGTTTTCGGTCTTGAGCTAAGGATCGCATTAACATGGATCAATTGAAGATGATAACTGAAGGGCTTGGTTGTTTATAACCAGATGACCCTGTAGGTCTTCCAGACCCAGTTTGCCAATCCCTGCACTAGACTGTTTGATTTTTCTCTCTAGTGTCTTCGGTTAATCAGGCGTAATGTGATTTTGTTCCGTTGTCTTGTTTTTGAAAGGCTTCTGGTGGCGATGTTTTGTTCTCATGTCATCGTCTGTGTTCGTATGACTTTAATTTCACGTGGGCTGTTCTCCGGCTCCCTCTCTCTCTCTCTGTCTGGAGGAGCCCAGGCTCTGCTGCTCCGCCAGCGCAGCGCAGCTCTGCTCTACTCTGTTTTGAAATGGAGGCGGGTGTGTTTGTCCGGCGCTGTGGTGGTTGTTCGGTGTGTGCTGCGCTTCCGGAGTCGCCTCTCTGGGACGAGCATGAAGGTGTGACCCCCGTCACGACGTGTCACCGGTCTTGATGCACTGGGGGGAGGGGAGGACCCCCACGGGCCGCTCCCTGAAAACGGGACAGCCGAAGGCGCTGCTCTGCCATCTTGCTTTCAGCACCTGGTGACGGCACAGCTTGAAGCCAGGGTGACCAGTTTCTGGTCCTGGAGGGCAGGCGTGTCTGCGGGCGTTCATTCCTGTCTAGCGCCTCGCGTCACGAAACAGGCTGCTACTGGGGTTATTCTCCCAGCTCCTCGTTAAAGAGGCCTGGAAACCCTGCGGACAGAGCGGCCCTCCAGGAGCAGGGCTGGACACCCCCTGATGTAGCGCACAGGGTGGGGGTGGGGGTGGGGGGACAGCGAATTCACGTCCCCACTGCCAGCACTGTGTCCTTGAGCAGATGCGTCCTCTCGTGCTCCAGCCCGGTGGGACCCCGTGTTGCTGAGGGTAGCCATGTTGTGGAACAGTGTGTCATCTGTGGGAGTTCTGCACACTGCCTGCTTCACGGTGGAGGCCACTTGGTAGGTTGGAAGGCAGTACAGCGCACGGAGGAGGAAATACTGCGGCTTTTTGCGTTTGTCTCAAGGTTTGAGCGCTTTTGAGGAATTCAGAGGGCTCCACCCCTCCAGCTGAATCGGATCCCTGCGTTTGCATGCAGGAGTGCAGGATCTAGTGTGCCCGTGCTCGTTGTCAGAGAATCGGGATTTTTGTGATGCATTTTTATTGCAGTTATTTTTATCTTGCTGTTCTTGCAGTGCAATTGATCAGAAGGTGCCTAAGGCCCAGAACAGTGAGCTGGAATCCAGCAGGCTTTGTAAACCTAGGAATGGCACTAATTCGACTGATTTATAAATATTGGATCTTGTTCCTGGAGGTGGTGAGTGGACAGTCAAGGGTTGGACGAGAGGTGAACAGCTCCACCTACAGAGGTCTCAAACTCTTAATTTCTTATTGAAAGTGATTGTTCAGAAACCCGGATGGCCTGACCCTTCATTGCAGTTTTAAAGCCATGCCAAATTTGAGCCCCTTAACCTCTTCGTTTTATTAGCCTGGGCCTTTTCATCGTCCACATAAGATGGATATTTTATAAAAGTGAATACTAACAAGTTCGCCTTCCATCAGGGTCTGCGAACTAACCCAGCGGTGATGGTCAGTGTCAGGCACAGCTGTTTCAGTTTCCTTCTGTGCGCCTGACATGTTTTAATGAAGAACTGCCGTTTCTGTGCAGCAGAAAACACCAACGTGCATCGTCAGGGTGTTTAATTACAGTTGCCACAAGCAATGAATTGGCTGAATCACAGGGCTTGATAGGTGATGGTTTCTGTTCGTCCCAGGTGTTTAGTGAGTGATCATTTGGCGGTCAGGCTGCAGGCAGGTGGCACACTTAGGTATTGTCCTGTTCTGCTGAGACAAACACAGTACAAAAGACAACACCACATAATGTAGACAACAGGAACAATACGTATGTTGTGTTTATTTATTGGGGAAAATAGAAGGGGAAGGTGGAGGTGTCTGTTTTGAGCTGTTAACATTTCTAGCGACTATAGAAGGAATAGAAAGGTAGGATCAGTGAAGGAGGCACTGCTTCTCACAGCGTGTCAGGGTTTGGGATGAGTTAACCAGGCCCTCCAGTGAGCTGTGCCTTGGACTGCAGCCTCAGGGACTCCAGGAGGGTGGTAGTGGCGTCTCTGGGAGGCATCTGTGCTTCCCAAGGACCAGTAATTGATTTGGGAGCAGCAGCCCAGGCCCAGCCTGGGGACAGAGGTGCTCTCAGACTCCCACAGCTGGGGCTCGTCTGTGCAGCGCTGTGCCAGGTTGCAGTCTCCAGCCCTGGTCCTTAGTATCTACCGGTTGGCTCCGATTGTGCTTTCCCACAGTCACTCACTTGAGCTTGCCGCCAGCCTGAAACTGACATGACCTGTAGCAGCGCTGACTGGGGAGGAATACAAACCCCTGGTCGGGGGCTCTGTGCGTCTGCAAGATTCATCACCTCTGCTCTTAATAAACCTGTTAATCTGGTCATCAGATTAACTGGATCACATGTCAGAAGTCTACAGCCGTTAATTTAAAGAAACCTGGAAAACCTGCTAGATTCTGCCTTCAAGGACTGGAGCTGTGCAGCTGTAGTCTTCAGTGAGAGTGTGTGCTTCCGGTGGCATTGGTATTTCTGTGCCTGGAAAGTAGTATTGAGCTCTGGGAGTCCGGATAATGTGTAGGAAGGAGAAACGGGTGTGCAGGGACTGACTGAGTGCTGCCCGGAAGAGCTGTAGGGCCGTGTGGTTATCCAGATTCATGCTCTAGGAGTGACAGAAGCACCACTGAGGCAGAGTGAGGGGACCGGGGGGGTGTGACAGGAGACACAGGGCTGCTCACCCCTAGTGTAGTTCAGGTACTGTTCTCAGCGGTTTGACTCGTGGAGGCCTGGCACACTGATGGTGATGGGCAAGCTGTGTGGCCAGTCTGGGGGGGGCACCCCTGTGACCGCCGTGCCCAGAGGAAGAGGGGTGGGGGATGGATCTGCGCAGCGCCAGGGGAAGCAGTGAGAAGCGAACTGAAGGTCCAGCAGTCCGCCTGGGGGGCCGGCCTCCGTACCGTTTCGGACCACAAGTGCAGCCCAGTCGGTTCGTTTTATTTGTGACCCTTGTTGTTGTTTTTTTTTTCCTTCGCAGGAGCTGGCGAATCGGGGAAAAGCACCATAGTGAAGCAGATGCGGATCCTGCATGTGAATGGCTTCAATGCTGAGTGAGTCTCTTCGGTTCCTCCCTCCACCCTCCTTGCTCTGTGCTGCAGGCAGAAGCCAGGTGAACGCCAAGGCAAAAAGATCGGGCTCCCGTGAAATGGCGTTGTGATCAGGCTGTGCCAGCTGTAGGATCTCGCGTGGGCCATTATGTGGTTCCTTCGTCACTGTCAGTCGGTGTGAATAAAGCAGAAGGTGTTATTGACAGCAGATCAGTACAGTTTCCAGAAGAGGCTGCATCTCACGAGACCTAGAAATCGATCAGAATGATTGCTGTGCCAGATGTGAGACCTCGTGATGGTCCTCTCCCTGAAGCCAGCTGACCCAGAGCTAATGGGGGCAGCTGCTCTGTCCCTGCCAGCAGGGGGCGAGCTTGTTCAGAGAAC